GAGAGGCAGAGAACGTAGGGTCTGTTCATACCTCCCACATGTCAAAGCCTGACTTCTGTGGCCACAGAACCTGCTCAGTGCGAGGCTCTTGCTGAATTCCACGCTATAGCGGCGGCTGTTGAAGCACTCCGGCTCCGGTCGCATTTACGGCTTGGGGCTTGATGTAATTCATAGAGGGACTTTTCTGCCTGGGTGTGTTGAGAAGCATCATCCCCCCCTCCCCAAAACTGCCACCGTGGTGCTGCCTCCACCGCGGCCCGCTCCCATGCGCTGCAGGTCCCCTGACCTCTGCTGGCTACAGAGGGCAGTTGCAGAGGGTTTCGTGCCCCTTAGACCATGAGCAGGAGAGCACCGGTACCGATATGAGTGTGTGCATGTGGCTGTAGGTAAAAATACTTCAGTTGAGTGAATGTAAAGCTGCCTGAACCATCACAAACACACACAAAAAATCCACAATTCCCTTTTTTGGGGGGAACCCTTTTTTACTTATTTTACAGGTAATTATTTGGAAGGATAATTCGAGTTTTTTCTAGTTTTTATTGCGTAACTATTGTCTGATTTCAAGTGGAAATGCCCTAAATGATTCGGTTACATGCACTTGCAAAAAGTCACTTTTGTCTACTTTCAGAAAGCAGCCCAGAAAACATACTTTAAATGCACAGTGTTGGTTAGGCAGGTAGAGTTCCATATGGCAGTTTATTAATGTTGTTCTATAGGAAAAAGTATCCCCAGAGGATGTAAGCTCTGCCTGGCCATCACGCTTCCTCTCTGATTGCAGTCAATATTATATTTGGCTTGAAATTACCAAGCATAATAGACTGGAGATTAACTAAATCAAGTAAAAATAGGGGAAAAATAAAAGGGGGTATGAAGACCTAAGGATAAAGAGGACACGCTTGAAATTTCCTTAAGGGAAACTTTGCTGCTTCAGGAGCATGGCACTGGAAAGGGAGAGGATCTCTGTAGTAGGGGACAAGTACACTTGTCCTTCCTAAAGGAAAAGAGCTTTTTCCACGATCTGGAAAACCACATAATAAATGATGTTGAGCTATCCTGAGCTCCGGACTCAACAGTGTCCACACACCAGGCTGATCTACAGGTTGCTGATGTTAATACATGCGATGATTCCCTCTGACTGAACGAGCTGTCTCTTAATTGGACAGAGCAGAGCAACCCTGTTGCACTGAAGCAGATAGGCAGACTGATGAGAAACAGCTGAGATTTCAAGAGAGGACCTAAATGTAAGCTTCTGTGAGAGTTTCCAGAGAATTTAAGTCAATTTAATTGATAACCCTTTATTAAAACCATTAACCAATATTTTCTGCTTATCAGAACTGCAAGTGTTTGAAACGCTACCTCAATTTTAGGATCAATCTGGCACTGTTACAAAATACTGGAAGAGCCAAATATAATGACTTTTTTCTTGTGAGAAGTCCTGCAATTCTAAAGCGGGGTCATTCTTCACTGGAAAGCATCAATCGCCTCGGAATAAATAGAAGACACACGGACCCAGCACACTTCCTCCGTATCCTTTGGCAGCATACCTACCTTTGTCATAGCCTCTTGTGCTCAGCTGAACTAAGAATCTGTGCAAGTTTCAAAGCACTGGGATGTTATCCATGGAAATATAAGGAACGACCTTTGCAGAAATGGCTAGGATGCTTTGGAGCAAAGGCCTCTCAGATCCTGGCTTCCTCGTGGGATTGTCCTCCAGCTTCTCAGAATGAGTCAGAATTCTGCTGAGCCTGTCCCAGGCCAGATGACCATCGTCAGATTTGGGACGGCAGGAATACACCCTTGGTTTTTGAGAGCTCTGTTAGGCCGCGCTTGGCTGTACAAAGGAAACTGAGCAAATAGCGCTTCTATTATATGCAGTTTCCTTTTATTCCTTGTGCTTGAATAAAAGGATTGTTATTTTTCTTCAGAAGGAGGAACAAAGAGTGGGTAAGAGGCAAGTGGAGGTGCTTCCTTGATAATCAAGCCCTCCTTTTGTCCTTTTCAGTGGAGTCTTATTTGCAGATGCCCGTTCTGCACAAGCTTTAAAAGGCATCAGCTTCCAACAATGCCGTGTCCTCATTGAGGCTGACCTGGAGAGGACCTCTATTTACCAGATATAAAGCTGCTAATTATTTTGTGTATAGGCCTTAACGTGATTACGGCGAGCATGGACACTGGTTGTTGTTACAGCAATTTGAATTAAATTATGCTTGTGCCGGCATAATTAGGATCGCCCTCCGTTGGGCTTGTATTTTAACGCAGCATCTCAGCAGCTTGGTGAAAACAGCCACAGTTTCACCTTGTGCTGGCTAAAGCATGCGGGCTGCGAGACTGGAATTAAAACAAGGAATTTCTTGAGCAAACCCTGAGGAGGGAGGTGTGGGCTTCGTGCAGAGCCCAGCGATGGCTTTCCTGCCCCTCTGAGCGTTTCAATAAGCGCTCATAAAAGAAGGAGGAACTGGAGTTATAAAAACTAAACTCAGGCCAGGCCTTCCTTGTTAAATGAATGCCTTTGCGCAGTGGAAACAATCGTAGTATTCAAGCCCTGCAACACAAATGAGGTAATGAAGTCATTAGGGCTGGGCTAGGCGTGCATGTCGGGGGCATGGGCTGCCCAGGGTCCAGCGGTGCCCCAAGCCTCGGGGAGCCCCGCTAAAGCAGGCGGACAGCGGCAGGGTCTTTCGGAAAGCCAAGTGGGAAGATGAACGCAGCAAGGGGATGGATTGGTGCCTTTGGCCAGCACTGGTCCTGCCATGGCCAGGGGGCTCAGGCCCTTCGCAGGAGGCAGGACATCCTCTGAACCCCAGCAGTCCTCCGAGCTGCCCACCAGCACCCCCTCAGCAGCACCATCCTGCAGCAAGAGGCTGCCTGCAGGTCTCTAACCTGCTGCCATCCCTATGGCCGTACGACTGCCCCGCTGTCTCCATCCTGGAAGCCACACTGCGCCGGCTGCAGCTTTATTGCATGGCTTTGGGAACAGCTGAAGGTGAAAGAGTGCCTTCTGCCTCCTTCCTGCTGCTTTGGAGGACACTTGGTCGAAAGCTCGCTGAGGGCCACGCAGCTGATGCTTCCAGTGTAAACGCTGCCTCTGCAAGCTGCTCATGGCTGGCTCTGCTCCCAGTGAGTTGTCCCCAAGGACAAGAGCAAGCAGGGCGTCCCTGCCATGCAGCGGGCCCACAGAAGCCCCACGCCAATCCACTGCCCACCCGTGTGGATACCCAGAGCACCCCCTGAGAAGTGGCAGCAGAGAAGGGATGCACAGGGGGTAATAACTGACATGTGCCTGTCCGAGTCGTAAGCATTGTCAGTGTAGTCAGGAGGGAAAAGGTGTTAAGTTAGTTGCAGGAGCTCCAGCGTGAGTAACTCTGACATGCGATTCAGCTTCCAAGAACAATGTTAGTCCATCGGAGGTGTGAGTCTTGTGGTGGCAGCAGGGATGCCTGTGTGGTCAGTACTACAGGGATCCCACCGAAGCAGAAAATCACTGTGTGATACTTGGTGAGATGCTTGGCTTCCAGAAGCACACAGAAAATAAACTGAAATCTAGGCAAATGCATTTTGTGTTATGCAGGTACTTAAGGAATTTGTGAAAGCAGGGACTGTAGCTTACTTTCATTTGCAGCACTTTCCTAATTTGATGTTCTGTACATAGTGTGAAGTCAGTACCGAGCAATAAGGTCAAATCTACTGTACAGACAAGAATCACACATCTACCACATGCTTTCCAGGAACTTACTTAGGAAGTCTTGGAATATATGACCTTGTTAGCCAGGGCTATGTTCTCTGGGATCACAGTAAGCCACCAAGGTGAAAGAGGCTGGGGAGAACCAGTTTGCAGGGAAATTCCTACGCAGCAGAGCTCAGCAATCTGAATGGTCCAAGACACTGTCTCTGAAATGTGGAAGACTGCAACAGCGGTACAGCAGCAAATACAGCTTGCCTGGTTCTTGCTATATTCCATGCCCCTCACAAACAGTAAAGTGGAAAAGGCAGCATTTTCCTTAAAGGAAAAAGTACTTTCAGGTTTATACTTGAAATATCAATAATTCATTGCCCTAAGGATCAAATACTGCGGGAGGAAAACCTTGCAATCAATAACAATATTTGCAGTTAGGCTTGGTGCAGGGGTTAGGTAGGGTTAATCATGTCTCATCATAACTGACCACCGCATGGCTCGCGGTACATTTTACTCCCACCCCAGAGCCGTGGTGAGGCAATGCCAGTGGAGTATTGCTGGAGGGTCAGATTCAAATCCCATGTGCTTCAGTGCTTGTTGAAAACAAGAGTGGGGGCAGTCCTTTTCTTGGAATTGGGATCACCACCCCATGGATTGATGCATTCTGCTGTCAGTGAGCATCCTCCTCTGTCCCGCTCTTTGTGTTTTGCCAAGGTTATTGGTCCCTGTTTTGCTACAGATTGCATCCATAGCAGAATGGAGTGTCAGACCTGCTTACAGGAGGCTGCCCCATCGTCCTGGAAGCCCAAGAGTCTCAGCAGTGCCATAAAAGTCATTTTACCCATGCAGGGATGACAACACCAACTCTGATGTCTCCCAGAACCTCTGTAAGTGGCGTTATTCTCCCAGCAGTCCAAAGAGAGCTCCTCCTTGGCCCAAATGGGCCCAACATTCAGATTGCAGGGCTTTGCCTTCCCTGGATGATGGGTCCTCTCCCGCTCCAGGCCACACCATCTTTGGCCTCTGGACCCTATTCTTGAAGGAGCCAGTCAAGAGGTGCTGCCCAGCCTCCTGCCCAGGAGCAGGGAGGAAGAAGGGTGATGGAGGTGGAGGGATGCACATAGTGGGGCTGGTTTGACATGGGCAGCAAAGCCACAGCTACACCTTTTTAAAACAACCTCTGCTTGTGGCCAAAGCCAGCCCCGTCCTCCAACAGCAGGACCCAGCTATGAAAGCTGATGAGGAATCTTAATGATCACAGCAATTGAAGGGGAAAGAGCAATTTCTGATGTAAATAAATTTGGGTAGAATTTTCTATTATTTCCAGGTGGTACCCAAAACAGGAGCACCCTCCTTCCCTACCTCACCGCAGTGGTCTTTCTCCCATAAGGCTGCTCTGAAGACGATGCAGGTGGGTTATGGATTCATCTGCTATGGGTGTCTCAGCACAGCAAGGCAGGGGGGATCTTCTTGTTGTCAGCAGTCACGGTGACTGCATTTTATCTAGATTCCATCTATGGATCTTAATATAGATCTTTGTTGCACGAGATTGAGTGCTGTTCCTGTGAAAGCGCTGCCTTTTGGAACAACATTTCAATGAGTTTATTATAAGAGCACTCATCAAATGGGGGGGGAAACAAGCTATTTTAGGAACTGAAAATGAACTCACAATATGTAGTATTGAGCAGTCTTATAGGCACCTTCAGACTTAGAAAAAGGTAAAGAATCAGGCTTCAGTAAAAGCAAATGCAGGTCTTTATGTGACGTGTGTCAGTTCCCTGCGGCCCATAGAGATAACTCAGCATAAACCCAACCATAGGAATTTATGAAACAGCTCTTATAAGCTCAGCTGGCACTATAGGGCATGGCCTAAAGCAATCGAATAGTGTACCGAAGTAATGTGACACACACTGAGAGGGCACACGTAATAGTCTGGTTTCACTGCCACATTGGCATGGCACTTTGAAGGGAAGGAACAAACCCAGATCGTTATTGCTGCAAAGGTCCCCTGGTGCCAGGGCAGTCCGGCAGCCGATGCGGTTGGTACTGGTGGGTGTTCTGCACTGACTTGGCTTTTGCTGTGCCTTCCTGAATCAGGGAAGAACTCTTTGCTGGTAACTCTCGTTCTGTTGGCACACACAGAGGCTGTGCGGCGGAGGCAGCCGGACAGAGACCAGAAATCCTCGGCTATTAATTTCTCTCCCCACTAGATGGCCCAGGTCTCTACCCATGAGCGAGGGAGAGATTCCTTCTCCGCACGTAATCCCGCTCTACGGAGATCCCACGCCGGCAGGGAGGCTCTGCAGGCTCACAGCCCCATAAGGGGAGACCTGCCCCCTGCTGCCCTACCCCTGGCATGGCCGAGGGCTCTGTTTTGGTAAATCACATCCTCTGTATGTAGGTAGGGAGCGATGGCTCCCGAGCCCTGCTACCCGTGCCGTTTCACATAGAGCTATCCACCGGAGAACCAGTGCCAATGCTGATGGTGTTTTTTCCAGAAAGCTGCATTTGGAAACTGGTATCCTGGATTTAAAGGCGACTTCCCTGGTTTTACACCATGCAGATATTTCATCTGCATGTTAATTTTCCTCTAGCTGCTGCACAGAGACATTTATGCAGTGTTGAGCAGCTCTGACACAACAAAAAGCAGGGTGTATCCTCCTTTGCATCTGCATTCACATACTGTTAGGTACCTAACTCTCTCCCCACACTGAAGAGGAAACAACTACCCCCTCCAAAACTACTCCGGCTACATTAATCTGTGAAGATAAGAATATGCAAGTTCTTCTTTGTGCCCCAATCAGGACAGAGTTAAAAATGCAACCCCTTGTAAACGTATTTACTTACAGTTACAGAGCAGGAAGGACTGGGATATTGCACGCAAAAAGTGTGATCTCTTCAGCAGTGAGCAAAGCCAACATTTGTTTTAGCTCGAGAAACTCAGATCCAGGTAAACTGGAAAAGCCCACGTTCCCACCCCAAAACCATGCTAAGAAAGGAATCAGATGCACAGTGAGGGAAAAACACTTCTGTTACAGATTTTATGATGTGACCATCTCCTTGCTTTACATCTGCACTGCTCTCGACAGTCTATCAAAATCATGCAGCCTAAGGAGCTCATGTCCTTATGGTGGAGGCATAAAATATACATACACATTATTAAAGTTGCATTAGTTTTGTTCAATCTGCAATTTAGGACCTTGGAGGCGTTGTTGCCTTGAAGACCAAACACCGGTTTTGGTAGTTAAGGAGCATAAATGCTAATTCTTTCTCTGATATTCACCTGCCTTGAAACTTCAGCTGTGTCACTTCTGCTGCAGTTTCCTTATTTGCCATGTACAGAGGAAATAGTGGTGTGTTTTGCCTTCCAGGGGTGTCTTGAGCTGTTCATGGCTGAACTCTGCTTTGAATGCTGCTTAATGGCTCTGTGTTTTTAAAACACACGAAGTCCGAGGTTTCAGTGATTCACCTGGTTTTCCCTTGCTCACCCTTGTGAGAGGCTGCGAAGCTGGTCCTGGAGGAGAGAAGAAAGGGATAGCGTATGGCAGGGCACGCTGCCTCTCAGAGGGACGCTGCAGCTGCTGCCCGTGCAGAACAGGCTGGTGATGCAGCGAGCCCTGTGCGTGTTGCCCGCAGTGGCCCCGCAGTGTGCTCCGGAGGAAATGGTAGACATTCTCCCATAATTCAGCCTGTTAGGTGGTCAGTGTTATACTACAGGACAGGCTATGCATTCCTGACCTCCTCTGCCATGCATGCCAAGGACGAGGATTAATGGCCCCTGTAAGGACCAGAATAGAAATGGTACTAGCAAATATCAATCTTCCTCCTGTATGTGCTATCCAGATTCATACCTTAGCATAGACCAAGCCTGCTTCTGAAATAGCCCAGTGATCCTATTCAAAAGCACCAAAATCTTCATGCCAGGCTGCACTGTCAGTTTAAGGTGCTCCTATCTCCCCTCGGTGCTCTGGAAAGCTCTGTCTGCCCTTCTTCCTAGGCAAAGACCTTGCCTGCCTCACATATCCTGACAGACCCGGCATTACTGTACTTCATGGCCCTCAAGGAAGAAGTATGACCATCTCCAGCCACTATGCATCCATAGCAATTTACCATGGCCATTGCTATGGGGTCTCTGCCACTCAAGCTACTGAAGACATAAACATCCCATGCCTGCTCAAGACAAGCAACCATAAGGTTGATGTGTCCAGCCATGGGTAGTCTGTGGAAAGGCTTGCGATCCTTGGGTCTTAGGAATAAAGGGTTGTGCTAATTTGATAGGCAGCAAAATACAGTGTGTAACATGTGGGCAGTCTGCTGTTGATCAGCTCAGGGGAGCCAAAGTGAAAGGTATAACCTCAATGGAGCTGGTGTAGGACTGGAGCCTTTCTCCCTCTCCAACGTATGTGGCAGGAACCTCTTTTCTTCCTCAGTAATTAGAAGTGAGGCCTCAAAATAAGAAGCCATCAGCATCACACAGCTGCAGTACTGATGTCAGATGTGCATAACCCAGAGCGTGGAGAAAGAAATCAAGAGCACATTGCATATGAATAATAACAGGTCTCCATGAAGCCATATGACCGGTCAGTTGGTGGATTAACTGTTTTAGTGGCTGTTCCCACCAAACTGACTCTCCTGAGGGAAAGCAGAAGAGGAAAGCTCTTTTTTTCCCCCCTCTCTCTTTTCCCTGGGAGAGAGACCCCCTATAATAGAGTCCTTAGTATCAAATAATGCATCAGCCTATAACCGTAATACTGATTTTCATGATGTCTCCCACAGAGCAAGCAATCTTTCCAGCCACCAGAGTTTGGTCACTGGAGAAATGCAGCCTGAGATAATACAGGTGTATGCATCAGGGTAAATGACTGATACACAACGGATTTCCACATTCCCATGATGCTAGGCTGTTGTGATGCTCCTAGATTAGGAGCGGAGCTGTACACGAGCACTCGGAGGAGAAGCAGATTTCAGTGCTGATCTTTCTGTGGTCACCAGAAGGTAAGCTTCATTTTAAGTCTGGTCTCAAACACTGAAGCTCCCTTTAAGCTGAGATTTTGAAATTCATCCTGGCCCTCTCATTATGGAAAAAAAAAAGAACTTCAAAACTTAGTATTTTTGTCACAGAGAGGTAATTGCACTGATATTTTCTCACTCTGTTTTGTTTTCCATCTGTGGACATGTAGGACACGAAACTTCAAATTTGGAGAAAATAAACCATTTTAGGTCACTACTTCAGTTTTTAAGCTTTAGGCAAGGCACCTCTCAAAGGGAAGCAAATACATAGCAGACATAGATGCTGCTTGTCACTGTGAGCTAACAGGTGAGCTGCAGTCAATTAACATAGCCTAGAGGGCTGTACAAAGGGGATCCTCATTTTGGGTGAATGTGAGCACACATACACAGGACCTTCTGCAATAAATAACACTAATGCAGTAACTTGCTAGGATCCAGAACCTGGGAATTATTTAGCTGTCAAAGAGTAAAATCATTGGAAGAAAAGTGTCTTAAAGCACCACGGAAGGTGCTTTAGGCATTTCAAATTGCTGAGTATCACATTATTGACACCTCTTTCTCTCTGAAAAGCACACTATGATCTTTTCCAGCCTTCTTCTAAAAAGAGTTTCCATGTTCAAAAGCAAGAATCTCATGGAGTTTGTGAGGAATTCTATTATTGCTAATAATTTCCCAAGGCAGGTTCTCAGAGCCTATGGCAGGCAATTGTAAGTCTTCATTTAGGCATAAAGACTTAAGTCACTACTGTAGTTAAGTCTCATCCTAAGTATACCTGTGATGCTCCAATCAGAGGACAAGTCAGTGCTGATGAAATGTCTGCAATGCTGAGGAACAGCACAGTGATTGTGAAGGCAGTTTAGGTCAATGATTATGAAATTCTGCACCCAAAAAGACATACAGATAATCTATATAAATCTTTAAAGCCCTCACAGGATAGAGTTTAAAATGATCTAATACCAGGCTAATGCTTTCCTCTCAAAGAAGAGAACACACTGCTTCTGAGCAAGAGCTATAGGCAAGCCTCAATTCATTTCTTTCCATCTAGTCACAATGTAGTGGGCCACTAATCAAAGCTTTTCTTCCCTTTACTCAAGCGTCCACCTAACAAAAGGCTGCTTCCAGGACAGAGAAACTGAAAGACCAGAGGAATGTAAGTGTCCAAAATCATCCATATTTCATCAGGTTCTCAGGTGGAATAAAAACCTCACAGATTTAAAGCCCTCTAAGAAACCGGCACTTGACTCAACAGCCTGAGTCACTTTGAAATGTAACTCGGATGAACTATCCTCAGCACACTGTGATGGAAAGCTGCTGCTTCTCTCTTACCTACCACATTAATGCTGCGCAGAACCTGGATTAGCATAGGTTGGAAAAGCAACAGGATTTGAAGAAAAAGCTGGG